CCTTGTTCTTGACTATGCAGTCGTGAGCAATTACTGTCACGACTGCAGTCTTGGCCCAAAAGAAGGAGCAGAAGTGCACAGGAAGTGCAAGAAGACCACAAATCAAAGTGCCAGAAAAACTTTGATGGGCCATCGAACGCAATGAAAGTCCGAGCAGCGGATATCATTTTCGCTCGATCAGTGGAGCTGCACAACCTCCAATACGCAACCATCCTTTGCGACGGCGACAGCAAAGCCTTCAAGCACATCGATGCGCAACAGCTCTATGACAAGGAGGTGTCTAAAGAGAACTGCGTGAATCACGTCGCCAAGAGGGTTTATGCCGGATTAGAGAAGGTCAAGAAAGCCAACAAAGGACTGGGGGGCATGGCAAACTTATGAATGTGGTAATGAAGCAGATGACGAACTATTACGCCAGTGCCCTGAAGCAAAATGCCCCTCGATGTGACAGCTATGCAGCGCGGCGTGTTTGCATCCTTGTTGCACATGTACTCGACTGATTAGGAACCTCGACATAATGCATGCCCCAAGGGGGAAGAATCGTGGTGTCACCACAACCGCCATCTGGCACTTCAAGCGGCTGGAAAGCCATCGGCTCCAAAGCCTCACCGGCGGGCTTTCTCTAAAGAAATGGTCAGAGCTTGTGCCACTCTACAACCGACTGACAGAACGAGACTTGTTGGCCAGGTGCTCGCGTATGAAGATGCAAAACGCGAATGAATCTTTCAATGCTCTTTTCCGGAAGCGCTGCCCAAAAACGGAGTTTGTGTCACTCCAGAAAGTTGAAACTTCGGTGGCCCTAGCTGCCTTGGAGTTTAATCTGGGACCTAAAGGCATGGAGAGGGCACTCCTTGAAATGAAAATCGAAGACGGCAGCCGCTATGAGTCGCAGACAAGAAAGGCGACCCAGCACCGGCTTTCCAGGTCCCGGACCAGTGCCCTCGACTCATCGAAGGCTGCACAAAAGCGACGCAGACTAGAAGCTGTGGCTTCTGAACAGAAGCGCCTTCAGGAGGAAAATCCCACGTATGCTGCTGGACTGTTTTAGTGGCCTAATAGGGGTGCTACATGGAAACGGAGGTGTGCAGACTTTAAACTAGTTTTTCCCAGTTCCATTTTTTTTTTTTGTATAAATTTTGCTTTAGTCTGTCTATAATTTGATAATCGGATTAAAATAAAGGCTGGTTCTTATTTTTTTCTGACCGAAATTTAATGAGGAGTGCACATGTGGACTTGGGTTTTTACATTATGGGTTTCTTTTATAATTACTTCTAATATTTCATCGAAGACAAAGAAGGCTCATAATTAGATTTATTTTCCAGAACAATATTTTTATAGAAATAAGCGACTTTTCACGAAACGCTTTTCACAGGTGCACTCACCAAGTATTCTGCTTCGTATCCAGCAAAAAAATATTTACATTTCGCCTTAGTTTTCCAACAATAGACTGACTAAACAATGGATAGGTGTTTGTTATCAAGACTACTGTAATTTCTTTTGTAATTATAGTAAAGAGTTGAAATTTGGTGGAGCACCTCCTATCACAACCATCAGTTGACTGTATAAATTTCATTGATTTCAAGCCAGCAGTTCAAAAGTTGACCCCCCGGGTAGTGTCTCCCCTTAAATTGTTTCGTATTATACGCAAATAAAACTTTTTTATTTTTTTTTTTCACGGTCCTCAAATCATGTTATGCATTACACACTGGTTTTTACGGTAAGTGAATCAAGGATCCAGAAGTCGGCAAGGGACAAGCCACATGGCGGTAATCCATGTGCCACGGCACCTCGTGTCAGGCCATCAGCCTCAGGGTCATGGGCTACTGCGCGTTCAACCCAGCAAACAACAACCAACACACACCTTACAGAAGTTCATTAAGTCAAAGAAGCAACATGGTTCAACAAACGGATCAAGCAACAGCTGGAGACTATCAAAAAATTTTTAAAAAAAACATCATCCTTCCCAGTGAGATCAAGCTGAGCAAAAATGCTACGGCTGCAGAAGGTGCAAACACATGGCAAAAAACTGCCCAACAACAAACCCTGTTGGCAACTTTGTGGTGAATCAGAGTCCAACAAGTGACAGCAGACGGGTGAAGTTCCTGAAGACTGCTACCATCAATGAAGCTCACCGGCTCTCGGTGATGATTATCCTAAGCAGTTCAGACTATATTGCACCATCGAGCAGCTGAAAAGTGGAAAGCCGTTTCACGTGGAAGAAGACGGACAACTCCATTTCGTGATGCCTAGGAGCATACGTAAAACACCATGTCAAGCTTCATGACTTACAGAGATATTTTAGCACGGACCCAACTGTGAAAAAGATCAAGGAACTCCATTATTTTCCTCTGATGAAGAGCTATGTGCATCAGCACATTCGTAGGTGTTTCGAGTTTCTGAACTTGATGATTAGAAAAGCTGGCCTGTTTGCCTGTTTGCAAACACTTTTTTTTTAGCACAAAGTTTACAGCAGGCTTTTTTTGAAGGTTTGTGACCCTAGATTAACTCTCACCACTAGGTGTGGGTTCTGTCAAAACCACACCAAACCATTAACCAACTTTGTTGGTCAAATTGCCGTCCTTTTAAAATGCTGACTCACCCGCCTTCTTTTCAGAGAAGGCTCCACGAGAGCTACCATTTCCAGCAGGACCTTGGACCAAGCAGAAGAAAGACTTTCCCTCCGCATTTTCAGAAAGTCACATCCGAGGGCATGGCCAAGCAACTGGAGCAGAGAATCACACAAGTTCTGGCTACAAAATGTTCAAGGCTCACAAAGCGCAGAACATCTTTCTCCACACCACAAGCACAGCAGAAACAATTCTCAAGGCCAATGTGGGGGCTTCAATGACCCACATGAAGTAATACAAAGTACATGCTGTACTCTGCCAAGATGGACAGGTCAGCAAGGTTTCCAGTGCCTGCAACGCTGGACAAGGCGGTCCTATATCCCGGATGCCCTGGCCCGCACTAAAGGAGGAAGGCGGTGGGGCCCATCTTCTTCAAAGAGAGGTGCAAGTATGGTGTCGTTCAAGGAACTAAGATTCGTCAAGCATGACCCTAACAACAAGGCGAAGAGGGCAAGAAGAACCATGGAAGTGCATTTGGACGTAGCACAGGCAACCATCAAGAGCCTGCATACAGATTTCATAGAGAAGGGGATATTCTCAATGTTTGCGGACATGGTGGAAGAAGCTGCCCATGCCAAGGAAGGTTCAGGAGTACCCGAACACAGATGATGAGGCCTCTGCACCACGGATCAGCTTGCCCATAAAAGAGTGCTAGAATCACCAGATGCCACTAAGCAATCCATGCACCCTGACTCTTGCACAAGCTCAGCACTTGGAGAAAGAGAAGCGCGGCCAGAGCAGAAGTATGCGGTGGCATGCGAAACGTGAGAAAAGAATCACGGCATCACAGTTTGGAGACATTGGGGAAAGAGAGGCACCGGTGAACGAGAAGTCTCTCAGGACGCTCTTCTCGGGCGGACATGGCATGACACGTCACATGACTGCGGGACTTCAGAATGAGGTGGCCGCTCTGAAGGCCAAGCAAAAGGTCCAAGTCTTTAGTGTTAACCTTTGTTTCAACCCCGGTCTTCCCATGCTGGGGGCATTGTAACGTTCCCGTCTGGTGACTCGTCATAGTTAGCCGTCTCACTGTGCGTGTGTTGGGGAATGCGGATTCACCACTCCGAAACTGTAAGGCGCGCCTCACAGTTAGTCACCTATGTGCGCGTGGGCGTGGGTGCGTGTGAGAGAGAGAGAGAGAGAGGCGGCAAGAGGGGAGAAGAGCCAAGCACAGGGCTCTTCAGGAGTAATGAGGAATGCAGATTCGCCCCTCCAAAACTGTGGGCGAAAGTGCTGGTCATCTACCCTCCGATGGGTGAAATGGACGAAACTGCTAGGCGTCTACCCTCTGATGGGTGAAATGGAGAAGCCGGAAGAAGTCCTCCACCTTGTCAAGATTTATCCTCGACTGTTCGCATCTTACCCTCCATCTTCCGGCGCCTTCCTTTTGCCTTCCACTGCTGCCGAAGGTGCTCACTCTGTGTCCACTACCACCACGCCCCTACTTCACGAAAGTGGACCTTAAAGATGCGTTCTATCTTTGTCCATGACCTCCTAACCTGCGGGTTTAGGCTAAACCCAGAGGATTCGGAGTTCTCCCCCACCCAGCGTATCCGATTCCTCGGGTTTCTTTTGGACGGTAAAACCCAGACAATTGGGCATACCCCAGCAAGATGCAGAGACCTGCTGGCGACCCTCAAGATCTTGGATGTCCCGCGACCGATCTCCCCCTACCAGCGACTCGCCGGCCTGTGGGCTTTTTATTTCTCCCTTTATCAAGCACACTTCCACGCTATCAGGCCTCTCCATCAAGCCGCGGCTACGGGATCCCCCCCATCAAAACAATGGGTACAACTTTTTTCTTTTGTGCTGGGCATGCTGCCCGCCTCCGTCCCCTTTGTGCCCCCGACGGTCCAGCACTCCGCTTTCGCCGACGCAAGTCTCACAGGACTCGGCGTTCGTGGTCCTAAAGGCAACATCGCAGTCATCTGCCCAACCCCCCATGGGATCTACAAGCATGAACTTTATGCAGTACTTTTTGCCCTTTTGTGTTCACCACACCGGACCCTAGTTTTCTGCGACAACGCAGCTATTGTTCACGCCCTGACCAAGGGCGTACCCTGTCTTCGTGTGAAGCCCTCGCAGCTACCCCTTTGCTTTCAAATAAACAGTCTTGGCTGCGCTGGCTGCCCACGACTGAGAACCCCGCCGACGTCCCCTCTCGGCTCAACCGCACACTTTTCCGTGGGTCGAGAGGGTTTCGTCGCCAGGGGGCCGGGCCTACTTAAGGCTCGTCCCGCTGGAGGGGAGCTCAGTCGGAGGGTAGGCACCACGGCAGAAGGGTTTCTGTGATACCGGATAGACCCAGTTAACCAGTGTGGCAGACGCGTACGGCTTCACCCTTGTCCTGTTGGCGGCAACCATATTGTCACCATGCCGCCTAAACAGGTGGCGCCTCACCCTGACGACGACCAAAGTTCTGATAACGAGTCGGACACTCCCGGAGTTGTCCGAGCCTTGGAGTCCCACGCAGAGCGTATCGAAGACCTGGTCCACGCAGACCGCATGGCAGCCAACCAGACCTTGGAGCGGCTGCTCCAAGATGCCCAGCGGCATCAGGAATCAAACAGAGAGATCGCGGATGCGGTCGCCAACGCAGTTGGGCGCGCGTTGGCCCAAGGACTACACCACGCCGGAGCTCCCCCGCCAATCCCCCCCCCCCCTGCAACGCAGCCCCCCATCACAAGCTTCGGAGGACTCCGACTTCAGGGTGGCCCTGCTCCAGACTCCCAGCCCCCAATCGGCGTCCCCCCTCCCGCCGACCCCTGGCCACCACTCTCGCAGTCGGAGTTCCAGCCCACCCCTGCGACCCACACAGCCGCCGTCACCGGGCCGGACCCCCGATACCAGCAGCAGCCCTTTGGGCTCGCCGCCTCCGACACCGGGAGGTTTTTTGCTCCATACGAGTACCCGCCCACCCAGCCCTACAACATCCAGGTGGCTGGACGACAGCACATCTTTACGGTCCAGGACCCCCCCACGAAGAGGGACATCGCGGAGGCATTTATCCATGTCCAGCATGCCGCCCGCCACTCTCCCCATATCGGCAAGCGAGAGATCACAGAACTCCAGTTACTGGAATGTTTTGTCCAAGTATGGGATTGCCACTGCACCGGGCTCCCCAACCGGGACAAACTCAAGATTTTCGATCGAGTATGATTACTCTATCATGTCGCTCAGTCCGGTTGGCCGCTCAGTCCGGTGGTATTCGAACTGTCAAGTATTCCACGAACGCCACCCGTCTCAAGACAGAGCTGGTCAACCACGCGTGGACCACAGGACACACCTTCGACTTCACAGCCGCGACGACCTTGGCGAAGGAGGATAGGGGGGCCCACGCAAACTACTTGAGTCATGGTTCATCCGCGGAGATAAGACGGCATGCAACAAGAACCGTCGCCCCCTCCCGGAAGCTTATATGGACCTTCCCAATAAATAGGACTGCGTTGACCGAAGCTCTCTTATTCCTGTGTATGTACTGATGACGCCTCCCGCATGGGAGGCGAAACGTTTAATGAAGTTATTTTTCTTGTTATGTGAAGTCAGTGTTCTTATTTTAATCATGATTAGAGTTAGCAATCCTGAATGCTCGCAACGTCTATCCGATCACGAAATCATATTTTTACGTCGCTATATCGCTGCTAAGATTACATCGTAGATTACATCGTCTTTTATAATCGTAAGAAAGGCGTGTGGCAAGATTTGTACTATTGGCAAAGCCGTGTATTAGAGTCATGATCGTTCAAAACGGCAGAATGCATCTTTTTCTTTTCTTTTTTTCATCCCCTGTACCCTGCAAGCCTATCATGAAAAAAAAATAATAATAATAATAATAAAGCTTTAGGCTATAAAAAACGGTCTGTCTATATTCTGTTACGGCATTGAGTGGCAGTGCGTCCCCTTTTTAGAGGCACCACTGAAACAGCCGTCGGCAATGTAGAAGCGGTCGCCGTGCTGACGACTTGCTGCACTTGTTGCAGTGGTCGCAGGCGTGTACGCGCGGCGCAGAGCGGTCGTTCCAGTAGCTCCGGTTGCAACGGACGCAGTCGTAGATAATGAGCTCGTTGCAGATGTCTGAACCAGCTTGAACTCCTTCAGTGAGGAGGTGTTCAAATGCCTTAGCGTTGTCGAAGACCTGGTCATCCGCAACGCCGTTAAAAGGCTGCGCCAGGCAAAAGTCACTCATTTCTTTCAAAATGTGTGACACACTTGAGAGAGAAATCTACTAGTCTGGTGAAATAAGGAGTTTCCTAAGATTAATCTTTATTTTTCATCTAACATAAAATAAATTGTTTTACAAAGGTAAGTTGTCTCATGGCATGTATTTTGGCCTGAAAAATTGACGTTTTTGTTATAACGCGGTACCGCTTATAGTGCGGATTTTCGCACCTCCCGTGACATACGTTATATGCAGTCTACACTGTACTAGTTATATTTTTGCTTAGATGAATGAATATCTGAATGTAGATAACGTACATTATCACGACTTCTCCAAATTTTTTTTGCTTTCGCCCTCATGTAATGCATGTGTGTAATGCATGCCTTTTAAGTAAAATGAAAGGAAACGAAATCACTGAAGCTGACACAGAAAAATATGATACTCTGTGCTTCCGCTGCTGAATCCCCCCCCCCTCCCCCCCATTGTCAAGCTGGAGACAAGCCCAGCTTTCTGACATGACGCAGTCATGCATTTCGCAGACTTTGCGAGTGCAATGAATAAATCCGTACAAATTGCAATTTCTTCAAGAGTTGTCGGCAGATGACAAGGCGAAACGCCTCGAAATTCGCCAAGCGTAACTTGAGTGCATCGATGCTGACCCAGGCCATGTGCAGTTCTTACTGTAAAGTGATGAAGCCATCTTTCACCTTGATAGACAAGTTAACGAACAGAACTGCAGGTTCTGGGCAGAATAAAAACCCTCATGGGCACCAAGAGCAAGTCATAAGTAATTCACTCCCCAAAAGTTACCATCAGGTATGGGATTTGGAGGGACGGTGTCCTTTTAATTGCTTGGTGTGCCAAACAGCAGGCGCTACACAGATGGAATCCAGACAATAAGCAAGACACCCTACTGCCAAGGGTGACTGTTGTGGTCCACTCTGGTCTGTTACGGCCATGGATCCCTTCTTGCAGGCACACCACTGTAGCAAACATCCAGGGTTTTAAAGTACCTACCGTATTTACACGATTGTAGGTCGACTCAATTGTAAGCCCAACCCCCCCCCCCCCCCCCCCACATCGCACATCAACAAAAAAAAAAATTTTTTTTTTTTTTTAGATGTGTTTTTTATTGCAAACAAGTGAGAACGACAAGGTATCTGTTTCGGAAGCCGAGCCTCCAACACGCGATCGATGCCTTCTGGCGTGCTTTGGCTGCGCATGCACGTGCGAGGTGCATGAGATGGCCAGGCGTTATTGGAACTAGGAAGTTCACGCTGGAGGCGGGACAACTGAAGCTGCTCACTGTCGTTCTCACTCCATCCGCGACTAGGCTACGACTCGTCCGCACTGGTGATGTCAGTCCCGTCGTCACCACTGCTACGTTCTCGAAGCACGTCGTCGGCGTCGTCCAATGAAATCTCGCACTTCGCAAATGACAGGATCAACCGCATCTTCTGCGCTTGCTCGGCGATCGTGCTGGACGTCACAAGTAGGGACCAATTGCGCACGTTTGCGGCGTACGTTGCAAGCCTGACCTTCAACTCCAGAAGGCATCCCCACCTATCCAGACTTTGGCCCGCGGAAGCCTCTTTGTTTGCCGTCACACTTTAAGATTCCGCGCCACCGCAGACTCCACTGGAGCATCACCCACTCCGACGAACTTGCGTCCAACAGCGCAGTTGTTGGTTGCTTCTGAGTGAAAAATGGCCAGAAACAAACACCGATAACTTAAACTGCCTGGATCACGCGTTTCAGTACAAATTAACATAGTTAGCGCACCAGCATGATATCGTACTCGATCAAACGATGTGCGACCGTGAATTGTGCGAAAAACTGCGAAGAGAAGCCGCGGCGCCGCTGCTGTTCCAGCGGCCTCCGGAGTGGCTCTTACGAGAAGTGCCGTCACTCCCCTGGAGTCGGGCGCTCCGTGCTCTGTGCCATGCATTCGGTTTAATTTGCGAATCGCTATCAATCATGCTCCTTCGCGCAAATAAAAAATAATTAATTTGTAAAATGAGCGCACAAAACAGTGTAATGCTAGGGGTACAGCCAGCAGAACTCGTAACAAGCCGAGGTGTCCATGATACCGCGATTGTTTCGTTTTTGCCGGCGGTGGAATGCTTTAGTTCGATTATAAGCCGACCCCCCCACTTCAGATTTTCAAAAATTGAAAAAAGGGTCGACCTACATTCGTGTAAATACGGTAAGTACAAGTAACTGGAAATCAATATCTAAGTACTTTTGTTGTACCTGAGGTACAAACCTAGGTACTTTCATTTCTCGGTATCTGTATCATAGGTACATTTTCCAGTAACTTGTAACTAAGTGAGGTTACTTTTTACAAGTACTTTTCTATTCACTTCGTCAAAATGGTAGAAAGTATAAATCTTGAAGTATTAAAACGCTATCATGTGTCGTGCTTAACACCGAGTTGGGTACGACCTGGGAGGCACTGACTTGATCGAACGACGTTATAGCAAACGATGCCTCGCCCATGATGTTTCATTGAACGACACTTTAGCAAATGGCGGTGTTCATTTGAGCGAACAATGAATTAGCGATGCCGTTCTAGCGACACCAATTTATCGAATCACTTCGGAACTCCGTTTAGAGAAAACAGCGACTTGTTTTTTTCATCTCAAACCGAAATCGACTTCGTTGCGTGTTAGAAGCTCCTCCGACAGCTACACAAGGGAGGACATAACGCGAAAAATGCGCACAGTCTCTGTTGCCTGTATCTCACCCTGGTGGTGGCTCTCTTCTGCAATAAATACGATAAAAATATAATTGAAAATAAATTATAATTACAATCGTAAAGCAACGTAACATTGCATATATAATACAGTATACACTCAATAAATCAGACTCAAATTTTGCAGTTATCAAAACTGAAAAAGTTCCTAAAGAGAAAAAGAAAAAGCTTATTTTTCTTCTGACTAACGAAAGAAAAAAAAAACGAGGAAGCTTGAAGCCTTTCTTTCGCTTGTCATCGCAAAGGTGCATATGCACTGGACTCGTGCGTTTCTTCATGCAGCCGACGTCTTCTGGGCCCGTCGACGTCAGCAACGGCTTTGAGAGCAAGAACGTCAAGAAGCGAGTTTCATCAGTTTCGGCGTGACATGCTAAACAGTGGAAGCTGTGGCCTCGGTGAACCAATTGACGCGTGGGGTTTAAGGCACGTGAGGACTCAACTCCGATGTGGACATTGCATTGACACCAATAAAGCACTTTTATTGAACTCGTTTTTGTGTGTATCCTTAGTGTAAAAAGCTTTACTTCCAATATATTCTGACCAATTTGGGGAAAATACATAAAAGAAGGTATCTTTGAAGTAACTGCACCTGTGCTATAGGTACATTTTCAAGCGAGTTAGGTATGTACCTAGGTGCCTTTTTGTATGAGTAACTGTAACTGTGTCTTAGGTACATTTTTTAAGTAACTTTTACAACCGTCCCAACATCCAAGAGCTCCACGAAAATTCTGACTTAAATCTTGGCCTTGCTTTGTGGTAGTAAAAAAAAAGGGAGAAATTTGGCTTTTAAGCAACAAGCACTTGCGGTAAGTAAATTGGAATTGGTAGCTAGACTGACATCACAGTGCACATCACTTTGTTCAAACACCAAGAATATCTGAATGTTGTGGCGCCAGGGAAGAGAAGGACACTGTGCACGAGACAATAGAAACTTTAAGTCGCCTTGATCAGTGAATTCCCGGAACCTCAGACAAAAACGGACATTCAGTCATTTTGTAAATCGTCGTTTGCTACTAACGTTACATGCCCAATTATTCCCAGGTGGCAAGCCTTTTGACTGACCGACTGTGTAAAGGAGAGTCAGCTAACTAATGTGCATTAGGACGCAGCAGAGGAACATGCATTTCAGGGCATAAAAAAGGTGCCGATTTCTCGCCCTGCATTGAGTGCAACAAAGACTTTTTACCCTAGTGTGATGCTAGCAACAGGAGGAAATGAGGGTATTCTGGGTCAAGTTGGTTACAA